CCAAGCCGAGCCGGCTCAGCCCTTTGCCACCACTAGTTTCTAGTCTATTTGATTTTTTTTTAATGATCATAAAAATACATGGGAAATTTTTGAGTTAATTACTTGAAAGGTTACTGAACATTGTCAAGTGTTACTAATTAATAACTGAACTTAAAAGTGTATCTCAATAGTTACTAAACTTTTGCCAAGTGTTACTACTTCATAATGGAACTTAAAATTGTATCTCAGTGGTCACTGAACTATGCGTTGTGTTATGCATCCATCACTCAAATGGAAAAATCCATTAGGTTCAACAAACGGCGTCGACCTGAGTGATGTATGTGTAATATGGTGCATAGTTCAGTAACAATTGAGATACGTTTTTAAGTTTAGTTATGAAGTAATAACACTTGACAAAGTTCAGTAACTATTAAAATACACTTTTAAGTTCAGTTATTAAGTACTGGCAATTTCTTTTTCCCACAAATCGATTTGTGTGAAAGAAGAAACTAAAGAAAATAAAGGGGGAAAAATGATAAATCAAATTGACCTCAGTTACCTTGGCATTAATTCGAACATTTTTGTAATTTTATTTAATTTTTCTTTGTCAATTTCTTTTAATGTTTCTACTGTCTCTTTTTCAATCATTTTATACGAAGTTCGAGATACTAATACCATTTGATCTAAAAATCAAACGTACTTTTGGGTAGTTGCTGATGAAGGAGATATGCCAATTGAGGGTTTAATGACTCCGGAAATTATTCAGTGCAAATTTAACATCGTATATATTCCATTTGGGATCAAAACTTTCAATTAAAGACTAACGTCATCCATTTATTTCAATGGTCATTGAACTTCGTTAAATGTTATTACTTAATAATTGAACTTAAAAATGTATCTCAATCATCACTGAACTATGCACTGTGTTACTCATCTATAACTCAAGTCGATGCCATTTGTTGATTCTAGCAGATTTTCCCACTTGAGTGATAAATGGGTAACACGGTGCATAGTTCAATAACCATTGTGATACATTTCTAAGTTCAGTTATAAAGTAGTAACATTTGGCGAAGTTCAGTGACCATTAAGATATATTTTTAAGTTCAGTTATTAAGTAGTAACACTTGGCAAAGTTCAGTAACCACTCAAGTAATTAATCTAAAAATTATTGGATGAAACCTATTGACCACCAGTTTATGTTTTTCTTGTTGTCCTGCTTTGACCTTTTTTTTTACAATGATTATTTCACAGCATTCTGTAATTTCCCAGAAGTTGTTTTTGGAGGTTGTTGCATTCTATATTTATAGGATTTTCTGTTTTGTGGAATTGTACTTTGGGGCTGCTGAGTAGTAACTACCGGGGAGGATTTATCCACCCTTTTCTGAAGCCTATATGGATTCCAGCACTCTTGAGTGAGACTGTATCATTTTTAAAAGAAAGAAGAAAAGACCATCCAGGAAGGTCAATGTCAACAACGTATTTTCAATGCTAATTGGATATTGGGATTACGCGATGATTATTGAATAATTCTTGGAGCGACCAAGAATTTTAAATTATATAAAATTATTTTCTCGAAAAACGTGTCGCTAAATTTTAAACCCTAACGCTAAAGTGAAAGCGTGTTCGTCTAGCCGTTATAAAACAATTTAAAACTATTTCAAATCAAGTCCAATCCCGAACATTTTAAATATATCCAATTCCTTATCATCTAAAGTCCAATTATGCTAGTCCAAATATTGGTGTTTAGGCCCAATTTTCACTTAGGCCCAATTATGAAAATTCTTATGGTCCAACTTCTTGGCCCAATGGGTTACCTAGATATTTGTGCCCTAAATTTACTATTTTATTTACCCTCATTTCCCTCCACTTCTCACACCTCACACTGCAGTCAAATTTGGTAAGAAAATTTCATCTTCACCAAGCATGCTCTTCAATCCATTTACAATGAGCTCACCATTGATGCTAGACCATCCATTTCTAGCATCAACTAGAGATTCACGAGCTGCAAACCATCACCACCTCCAACTCACAAGCCAAATCAAACAC